CACTCACATGTGCCCCAGCTGCTCCTGCCCCATCTTTCTCCACACACTTTCCCAGATGGCATTTTCTCTTTCTGAACAGGGGAAACCAATGGCAGGAGCAGTGTCAGTGTCCCCATGGACCACCCTCTGCAAATGGCCTGGATGACAGCACCCATTCAGACAGGAGTGGGAATACAAACAGTGCATGTGGAGGGAGGATCCAAAACTGCCTGAGAAGACATTGGTCCCAAATGATCATGGGAGAAAGGAAGACAAACACCAGCCAGATCAATGGGCTTGTAACCCACACAGGCCCTCAGTGTGTGCAGGTAAGACCATGTGTACGTGTGGGACAGGGAGATTAGAGCTCTCTGGGATAAGTGGAGGGTGGAGCTCTGTAGTTATTAATAACATTTTGGAAGTGTTGAGAACTCTGGCTTCTCTGTTATAGTACTGATATGGATCTCAAATGAACAGTTCACTGGTTACTGGTCAATTCTGTGTCAGGAATAAATCAATAAACCACTCTGATCTGGATTCAGCATTTGGGACATGCAGAGAACAGGTTTTTTCTGTGACAGAGGCACCATTTCAAACCTGCTTCCAAGAGCTGCCCTCCCTCCTGGAGCCCTCGTGCTCCACCTGCCCAGCTCTGGCTATGAGCTCTGGCAAAGGGAATTCTGAGGCCAATGTTTGAGGAGCAGGTTGGGCACCTTGGGATTGGCAGGGAGTCATCAGGGCCACCTGAGATTGCAGTACCTGAGTTTTGTGTCCTGTCAGATGGGAGGGAATTCCAGCTCAGCTGCCAAAGGTGTATGTGATCCTACTGAAGCCACATTTCTTGGAAGAGGGCGGCTAAGGAAAGGAAAGGAAAGGAATCCACTGGTACTATGTACTTTTGTGTAAAGCTTTCATCATGGTTAATCCAGAATCCCAAGACTACCCTCTCTCCAGTCAGGGGATTCCACCCTCTCTGCTGTTTGCCTTCTAGGTGTGTGGCATTAAACAGGGACCCCATGCCCTGCAGCTGCTGGGATTCATAACAAGTTTATTTCCGTGCTAACTTGGGTTGCTCCTCCTCTTGTTTTATGCACTTACCATATTCGGGGGCACCAAATATGCAACATATTGAGGATGCTTGTGTTGTTTCATCCATGTGGAGGATGTCTGAAAGACCATTTGAGTGCTGCCTCCAGTTTTGGGGTTCCTCAGCACAGGAAGGACAAGAACATATTGGAGCAAGTCCAGAGGAGATACCGAGATGATCGGAAGGATGGAGCAGCTCTGCTGTGAGGAAAGGCTGAGAGAATTGGGATTGTTCAGCCTGGAGAAGAGAAGCTTTAGGGTGGCCTAATTGTGGCCTTCCAGTACCTGAAGGAAGCCAACAAGAGAGATGGAAAGAGACTATTTATAAGGGCCTGGAGTAACAGAACAAGGGGGAATGGCTTCACGGTGATAGAGGGCAGGGTTAGATGGGGTATTGGGAAGAAATTCTTTCCTGTGAGGGTGGTGTTCAAGGCCAGGTTGGACAGGGCTTGGAGCAACCTGAGATAGTGGAAGGTGTCCTTGGTCATGGCAGGGAGTTGGAAGTGGATGGGCTTTAAGGTCCCTTCCAACCCAAACCACTCCACAGTTCTATAGCAGAGAGAACAGGCACCATCTTTTTACTGCTGGATTACAGCACTATGGCTTTGACTGCTGGGCTGTGGGAATACCGTCACTGGAAACTACATGGGATAGAGTCATGTCTTTTCCTTAGTAGGTTGAATTTCAAAACTTTTTTTTGCTTTTATAATCCATATATTTTGGTTTGCCTGACAAATAATGAGAATTGTATTTTATTATTTCACAAATAATAAAAAAAAAGAAAACTTTTTCCTCATTTTCAATGCCCATATTAAGCACAGAGCTCTTCTTACACCTGAGGTGTAAAAGGAACATCAGGTTTATTAGATTATATTTAAAAACTGCAACATAAAATAATGTGTGAATACCATGTTTTTATTTCTAAGGTGGAACTATTTGTTTATTTTTTTGGTTGACCTAAGTCTCAATTGTTAGAGCAAACACAATTCGAAAACACTAATTAAAAATTATATCTATTCCCTTTACCTCTGATTGATGTGGTAGCTGGAATTGTATTTTATGTAATTACCTCTTTCATGCTTATCAGGTAGAAATGGTTTTAGTTTATTTAACTTTCTCTTTCTGTCTTTATAATGTATTTCTCATCAGAGAGTTTTGGAAGTTTATTTGGCCTGTATTTACTCTTCCTCAGATAACGAACACGCTGGATGAGAGAGACAGAGAATCAGGCAGGAAAAAGAAACACTCAAACCATAAAGGTCATTTTAACAATCTCATAATCTCATTTCCTCATTGAAGTTTACCTGGGAGTCCCAAACTTTTTTTTTTGCCTTAGCTGTGCCACTATGTAAAAAAGGAACTCAAACCACGTGTTGCAATTCTGTGGTATTGCGGTGAAACAGAGCATCCCTTTCCTTTCGGAGTTTAGGAGTATTTATAAGGCAGCCAGCACTTTGCTTCCTTCAGATCACAAATCAAACCTGCCTGACAACTTCACTAAAGGCACCGTCACAGGAAAAGGTGAGAATTCCTTTCTTCTCTTACTCTGATACCAACTGCTTCAGATAAAACTAATGAGAACTTATAATTATTTATTTTAAAGTGTATTTAAATAGTTTTTGTGACATTTTACTCAGGACAGTATTTATATGCTCATCTCCCTGAAGTTTAGCATATAATTTATGTACACAGGTCACAGAATTGTTATCTATGCCTAGAGCTGAGACTGGGCCAGATGAGGCCCAAAGGTCCTTGCCGACAGAAATTATTCTGGAGAGGGATTTTGGACAAGGGTCTGCAGTGACAAAACAAGAGGGAACGGCTTCAAACTGAAAGAGAGTAGGTTTAGATTGGATGTATGTGAAGAAATTCTCCCCTGTGAGGGTGATGAGCCCCTGGCACAGGTTGCCCAGAGGAGCTGTGGCTGCCCCATCCCTGGGAGTGTTCAAGGCCAGTTTGGACACGACTTGGAGCAACCTGGGATAGTGGAAGATGTTCCTGCCCGTGGCAGGTCTCTTCCAACCCAAACCATTCCACAATTCTGTGATTCTCTGAACATATGATGTTGGAATACTCTCCTCATCTATGAAGTGCTCAGGCAACTGCACTGATTAATGATGTTCAGAAACTGAGTTTATTTCTGATTAATTTTTCAATAAAATTTTGAGATGGGGGAGGGAGTGTTCTCCCCCCATCTCAAAAATGGAATAATTTCCATTAAAACTGTTAACTTTTTTCATCACAAACCTGTGAAGCTTCCCTCTAAAAGCAGGAGAAACTTTTCTGTTTTGAAGGTTTTAATTTTGACAAAAGGTTGCTATGGGAGGAAAGCCATGTATCACACTCCTTCAGTCTTGGCCGGTGTTTTGATGTTTAGTTTCGGGTTTATGAAGTATAGTGATGAATGTCATGTTTCAGTGACAGAAAGCAGCATCTTTTCAGAAAGTTGCAAAATGCAGTTTTCTTTCGGAAATTCCAGATAATGCTGCCTGCACATGAAATCATCAGCGAAGAGTGTTTGCCTTGTAATGAAGCAATACACTGCTAATAGGATATTATATGTCTTAGAGGTCTTTTCCAACCTAAATGATTTTATGTTTGGCTGCTCGATAGTAACGGGTTTTTCACTGGGGTTTGTGCTGCTCTCAGTGCATCTGCAACAGGAGCTGGTTCCTCTCCTGTACACCCTCCAGATACTTTACTTGTAGCTTCTGGTCCCATTAAATAGCTGTGCACAAATCCAAAGGGCACTGGCCCAGGGACAGCTGATTTCTGACCAAGTTTAAGGGTGGCTCATAACAACAGGAGCTGCCAGTGAGGAGCAGATTCGGCACATACAGGAACACACACTCTCAAGAAATCAGGAGGGATACTCCCCTTTCATTAAATAGAAGACTGGTTTGGGAGGGAAAAAAACCTCAACCACTTCATTTTGTGGGTTTCTTTATGGTTGTTTGGACTCATAGTGTAGTCAGAATAGGCTATAGTCTTTGAAAGCTATATTCACCAATCTCTTTTTCTAAGGCATTTTCCTGTTCATTTGGCTTAATCTCCAGTTAAAAAAGTTCAGAAGTGTAACTAAATAACTGTTGTTAAAGTTTTTTATGCAGCCCAGTGGTTACTACAATATTTGATAACGGTGTTTGGTGTTTCATAAAGAGCTCTAGCAGTATTTTGAACAAGTTCAGGGTAAATATGCATTTACGTATTGTAAATAAGCTACACACTTACACAGTAACAATGATCTGTGTATCCAGCCCTTTCTTCAAATATAGCTGTGGCATTGAATCCAGTAGGAATTTTGCCTGAAATTGCTTGATAATTTAATTAGATTGTGCAAGCTGAGGTGGACATCACAACCAGTTTGGCAACAGTCAGTGTTGACTCCAGGTCTACACTGCATTATTGACCCTGCTGTCACTTGTTCTCACAGATATGATGGAGACAACAGTCCAGCAAAACCCATCAGCAGGTCCTTCCCTTTACTGACAGCATTTTGTTTGAATAGGATTGATGATGTGTTTAACCAACAAGCTTTGTATGAATGACATTTAATGTCCACTGCCTTGTTCATACAACTGGTCTCACTGGCATCAGCAGGACTTTTCTTGCATGAGGAATATTTAACTGAGGGACCTGAGGATGCTTCTGAGCTCCCGACAGATCAATTTCCTCACAATTTCCACACAACAATTTCCTCTAAGGTCCATGATTGCTTCTCTAATCTGGCTTGTGGTAAAAATTACAAGTGGATCAAAATTGTGTTACAAACCTGATACTAAATTTTTATGTAGTCCAAGAGCTTTTAGAACAGAAGGTTTTGTAGTTCACTGGGATTGACCATGTCTTGTTGTCACTCTGTCCAGCATGAGCCTGATTTCAGTGCACATTCAGCCAACCTCAGTGAAGTTCAGCAATTTATTTTTTCCTTCCAGATGCCTCACCTGCTCTCTGCCTTATTTTCACTGTTTTCCTTTGCTGCCTTACTGGAAGCTGTGCAGTGGAAACTTCAGGAAAATGGTAAGCCAGTCTTCACCTCCTGAGACCTTCAGCCACCTTCAGGACATGGGCATTTCTGAATTATAATTGTGGCCATATGCAAAGAATTTGTTAATTATGGTATCTTAGGCCAAGGTTCTTCCTACGTGTTTGTTTTTTTGTCAATAATTAGCCAATTATTGAATTGGAATTCAATTATTGAATTGGAATTATTGGAAGAAATATTTAGAAGTCCTAAAATGTCATACAACAGCATATTTGCAATATTTGCATTAGCAAGTGTCTTATTTCCTACTCCTTCTCCTCTTCTTTCAAAAGTTTCAGTTATGCAGCCTGGAGGCAGAAACAGCCTCTCGTGACTTAGGTATCCACCCAAAGTCAAACAAGTGAAGAATTTATTGTGGATAAAAAGTATTTCTAAGTAAAACTTAAAACCTAGAAATAGTTTATCAACTTTCCTGGCAAATAAGTCAAACGTAGAAACATTTGTAAAAATACAGGTTCAGTAATAAACAAACAATTCTTTTGAATAATTTGCCAGAAAATTGGGCTAAATTCAGAAAATAAAATCCATTGTTCTTGTTCAGTCAGTGTATCTGCATAATCAAAGCTGCCTTTAAGGCAATTGTCCAAAAAGAAGGACCCAAGTCAATATGAAAAAAAAATCATCAATTGTCTTCCATTTCTAAAAAGGAATTAAATTACTTTTCCCTGTGTATTTACATTTAAAAAATTATTAATCCTGTGGGTTCTCTGGGCAATACCACAGTGCTGAAAACTGCAAATCTGTTTGTCAGCATTGGGAGTAAACTTTGTGTTTGAAGTCTGTAAGACTCACCTTGCCTGTGTTTCACATGTCCATAAGCAGTTTGGGAAACTTCCAAACTTCCTAGAGCTGAATGTTTTCTGCCAGTTAAGATTCTGTGTTTGACAGGTATTTCTTAGTGTTTCTCCTTTGTGGTAAAGCCTTAAAGCTCTTATTCTGGTGGTGAAATGCTCTGGTGAGAAGGTCCTAGAGCTCACTGGAACTCAGAATTCACTGGACTGTTGAGCTCCTGGACAGTAGAGCTGAGGAAAAGGGCTCAGTCCAACCTTCCCACTGGCACATGGGAGTAGCTGCTAATTTCTTTCTTTGCCGTGTCCAGTGTACGTCATAGAATCCGAGTGGAATGCTGAGACACCAGCTACGAGAGTGGAGCTCACCTGTAACACACCTCATGAAGCAGTTTACTGGAAAAAGGGCTCTGAATGGAAAGGGAAAGGAAAGACTCTGATCGTTGAAGTGAAGGAGTTCCCTGATGCTGGAAACTACACCTGTCTGGCAGAGAATACCCATGAAATCCTCAGCTATAATTTCCTCCTCATAAGCAAAGTCAACTCCAACGGGCAAATGATAAGGTCGATTCTGACAAGCTTTAAAGGTATGAAAGATGATGGGATGTTCCTTGCTCAGCACTGAGGGCCAGAGGGAGCTTTCTGGACATGTGTGAGAAACACCCACTTTAAAATGGGTTCTCTTAAAGGCTTTACTGATAGCAGAAGGCAACTAATTCCTTCAGTGGCTCTGTGGTAACAAACACAGGGATTTGCCAACTGCACAGTTGCAGGATTTCTTTGTGGAAGGAGCAGTGGATTTGTCAGTGTAAATCTCTTCCTGACAGCTCTTTGCCACAGCCTGGGTGTGCTCTGGCTCCTGTCAATGCCACGTCCATGTGGTGCCACGTGAACCAGCCTTTAGCCACCACCTGTGGTTGTTTGGCTCTGTAACTACACGTGGCTGCCCACGGGACAGCCTCAGGCTGTGTCTGCCTGTGAACCCACCTGCCAGAATAGATATAAGTCCATCGAATTACTGTTTTGTCTCTGCTTTGACCATTTCGGCAAGAAGAGTAAATAAATCATGCTTTGCTTTCTTTTTCCATCTAGAGCCAATGCAGACCTTTATAAAATGTGAGGCAAAGAACTACTCTGGAATTTTCATGTGTTCATGGATGACAGAAAATGAGAGTCCAAATATGAAGTTCACCATCAGAGGTCTAAAAGGGTAAGAGCTTGTACTTTCCTTAACAAACTCATAGTAAGGCCAGAGCAGCCCTTTGTGCTACTCTGTGTAGGAGATGCCAGATTTTAGGCTGTTTAAAACATGTAGAAGGGAAGAAATTTCTCTTGCAGAGTTGGAATATCTGCAAAATGTTTTGAGGCATCACAGGGTAATAAGTTAACTAATAAGGGCATGGAAGTAGCTCAGAAATTAATAAAGACATGAAAATGGAATGACCCCCACTGGGCTGTTTCAGCCACAGAATAACTTAAGCAATAGCAGAAGAGTTTGTGGAGGGGAGAGAGGAAGTTGAGCCAAAAGCAGAAACAACCACAGCTTCGAGTCCCCTCTCTACAGAATGAAGGGAGTGGGAGGCTGCACCCACGGCAGAGGCCACATGCCCACTGACAAGTCTCTGCTGAGGAAAACAGCAGAAACCTGTGAGGGAAATGTGTGACGGGAACCTTGGGGGGATTTCCTTCCTCCCACCACTCCTGGGGGTTTCTCCAAAACATGGAGTATTTCAGCAAAGGTCACTTCAGTTCATTAAAGAAGAAACAATTGCAAAGTGTTTTATTTTGCTGAATGCAAAAACAGAGGCAGATTCAGGTAGTACTTTATAGATGAGTTTTGGTATTTATTTCCCAATGGATACTTCTCAACCTTCCCTCCTTTCCTCAACAAGGATTTGGAGAGGGTGAAGGAACAAAGATACTAGAGCTTGCCATGGGATGGTAGTAATAAGAACTGAGATACCCTGCTTTAGGATTCCTTCTGCTAAGGCAGGGGGTGTGGTGTGGCTGTGATGTTACATTAACACGTCCTACAGCACTGAAAATGTAGGAACTCCCAGTGAGCTTTTTCTGCAGCAGATGAAGTGCACCATGAAATGATACAAACAACATCAAAATATTACCTTACCTGACCTTACAACATTACATGTTGTTGGTTGTTGTGGCAACACATTCTCAGAACCAACCAGCATTCCCACTCCTGTACTCTGTTCTGTGTCCAGCTCTCAGGGAGATGTGACCTGCAGCAGCCCCGTGGCTCACACGGATGGATCGGTGACCAAATACACGACCCAGTGCCGCAAAGAAAACTACTGCCCCTTTGCTGAAGAGCACCAGCCCATTTATGTGTTCCTGGAGGTCATCGACGAGGTGGAATATGAGAACTACACCAGCAGCTTCTTCATCAGAGATATCAGTGAGTAGACCAGGAATCATGATCAATTCTTAGCTTTATTCTTGCTGCTGGCAGTGGAACTAAGGGTAGGTGATCACATCAGCCTTGGGAATCCCTGCCCTATTATACTGTAAATCTGCATCAAGCCCCCAGTTACAGGAACAGGGGAAAACATGCCATAGCAGCAGCCTGGAAGAGGATGAGGAAGTGAAGAAGCAATATCTTCCTGGCTTGTGACCTCAACCCTCTCACACCCACATGTCCCAGAAGTACTGTAGCCTTCTCTAATAGATGGCCATGTTTTAGAAGGGGGATGTGGAAGAAATCAGAGAACAACCAATACCCCATCAGGCTCTTCTCTGAGAACTGGTTAAGGCTATGGATGCTTCCATCCTGATCCATTCCTACAGATGGGCATCCAGGGCAGGTTAATATTAGAAATGGACAGTGCAGATTAATAGAAATGGGCAGGAATAAGAGGATATAAATTGTGATCATGATGCCACATGTCATGTGAAAATGTGGCAGCATCCTAAAGAAACAGATGTTTGGTAAATGTCCAAATAGTCAGCAGAGGTGGAAGATGTTCCTCTGTATCCAACAGAGACCTCTGCAACCCTTCAGGTGAAAAAAAAACCCAGGATCTTACCTAGAGATATTATGGGAGTGTGCTTAATTTTCTGTGAGACACACAAAAGGCAGTTCTTATACATCATATCTATTCCTTTCCTAATCTCCTGTAGTCTCCCAGTGCTCATTCTGATAAATGAGTACGACACCAACATTATGTTGCTAATGTGAATTAATTACCTCTATATCTTCTCTTGCAGTAAAACCTGACCCACCTCAATGTCAGTATGTGGCCACAAATGGAATGGTGACCTGGAAATATCCCAAAACATGGAGCACCCCGAAGTCCTACTTCCCTTTGACTTTTAAGGTCAAAGTTAAAAGCCCAAAGAAACGCGGACACCAGGTAGAAATGCATTATTTGAAACATAATTTTATTGCTTGAACAGACAGTATAAATAATATAAGCTTTGTATGCAAGAATGGTGAACAAAAATTTTAAAAAAAGGATGCTCAGGCCCAAATGTGGCAAGTTCTGCCCTGGCAGAAAAACACACCTTCCCAGTTCTATGATCAGTAAGATCCCTGATGTAACTGAGGAGAGAAAATCCTGCCCAGCATTGCATAGCTGTGCTAGCATGAGAAAAGTATTTACCAATTCATTAGCAGGCTGTGTGGTCCTAATGTGTGAAAATCCTCATTTCCAAATCAAGAAGTCTCAGATCTATTACATGGATTTCCTCGTATGTTGTTTGTACCTGGGCAGCTCAGACTTTATAGGAGAATAAGAAATAAGGAATCACTGATTCATTTGGAAGAATTTCTGTGCAGCCTATGGTCTTTGTCACTCGATTTCTAGTTAGTTAATTATTATCTAAACATTGCTCCTCTGTGTCAGTTTTAAATCACAAATGGTTTTGCTTCCTTTGCTGATGCTCATGGACACACAGTGGTGATGGTGACTTGCCTGGGTTGGCAGAGAACTGGAAAGATGAGCTGACCACAGAGCAGCACTGGAACTGCAGTGCTGCTCTGCCTTGGTCCAGCAATCAGAAAAGCAAACAAATGTAGTGATCATCCCAGTCTGTCAGGGGATTAATCCAGAGACACATCCAAAGATGTGTTTCCCTCTGTGGACAGAATCCACCCGCCCGTACCAGCAGATGGGGCCATTCCCCCAGTGCTGATTCCTTGATTTTAGTAGTGTTGGCTCCTACAGTCCCTTCGGTGGAGAAACTGGAGAGCCTGCAGATGCTTCTTATATCACCCACAGGTCCTCAGGGGGAATTTCAATGATGCTGAAAAGGAGTAACCTCTGTTTTTTACGGCTCCCGCTCTGGGAGAAGAAATAAAAAGAGAAAACCCCAGATAAACAAATAACTCCTTTGTCTTAATGAGTGTTTCAGTTTGGGGTTTGGATCACTTTAGAACAGCAACTTCAGTGCCACATGAGCTGTTTATTTGGTTTCTGCCGAAACTCAGGTTCTCACATGAGCATGTTTCGTTGGTTTCTGCTGAGGCTCCAGTTCTCACAAGCCCTCAGGACTTTGCTCTCTGTGGGTGGCGCTGGTGCCTGTGAAACACCAGATTGCCAGTGGGGGGTTGAGTGACATGAGCTTGTTGGAACCTTTCTGGCACTGTGTTGTATGTTCTTCTCGACCTTTACAACCCACTGAAGGAGCTGTGCCCTGTTCACAGGTCTATGATACCGATGAAGAGTCAATCCATCTTCCAAACACTGGGCCAAAAGACGAGATCTCCGTGCAGGCCAGGGATCGTTATTACCACTCATCCTGGAGTGACTGGTCTTCACTCTGCAGGTAAGGCTTAAAGAACCTTCTGCTATGCTTCCTTACTAGAAGAGTATGGAGTCTATGGTTTTTTTCCTAATTCTTAAATGATCATTGATTTTACATTTCCTTTATATAACCATTATTTACATAACCATTATTGTTCCTGAATATTCTCTTTCATTAAATATCTGTAAGAGAATAAATGTGTTGGGCTGCCAAACTAGTGATTCTCTTACAAAAACAATCGAGGAGACAATTAGAATCCATTCAAATCAGAGAGGAAACAGTGGATGTAGGTTCATGGACATGGGTTATAGTGCCTCACACGTATCAGCTGAAGCTGGATCCCTGATCCCCATCAGACACGGAGCCTCCTGAGCCTTGCACGGTGTGGGCTTGTGGAGTAAAAATCTGGGCCTGAGGAGAATTAAGATAATTCTTACGTAAATTTGCTTTCTCTTATTTTACAGATAACAAGTAAGAGATTCCAGGAAGATGGCACAATACTCCTACAGAAAGCAAAGAATGAACTATCACAAGAATATAAGCACAATTTGAAGAAAAATCTGCATTTGAGATTATTAAGAAGTCATAACGTCTTTTTTTGTGAGATATGAATATATTCCTGATTTTGGCAGCTCTTAAATTCCCCAGATACGAGTAACACCTTTAGTATACATCATGTTATATTAACATGAATTTGATATGTTGCTGTCAGCTATTATTGTAGGTTCATATTATTATATTGCATTTATTTATTTAATATTTATTTATTTATCCATTATTTATGTATTTATGTATTTATTATTTATTTATTTATTTATTTATTGGCATGACTTGCAAGAGCAGTTGATGGCAGTTACTGTTCAAACCATTTCATATGTTATTTGTAAAGTAACTTCCCCTAAGAACTGTTTCAGTATTCCATTATTTAATGGTTTGATTATGTGTCTATTTAATTATTTATTTTTATTTATTTTTAGTTGGAATGTGTAAGCATAGAAAGCCTTGGCTGCATGAGTGCTGTGGTTAAGAGTCCTATTACCACCTTTCATGAACATGAAAGGAACTGGGAGCCAGTACCTGAATTTAACCCTTCCTAAACAATCTCCTTTCCCTCCACGCTTGTGGTCACTGGAGGCCCTTTATTCAGTGATCCACATATATCCAGTGCATCTCCTGCAGTGGAATTTACTGACAATAAAATGAATTCCAAGCTGCTGTGCCACAGGCTCAGGGCATAGGAGTCAGGAATCTGCAACTACAACCATGGCAGCTGAAATTACACCTGTACTGTATCTAATACCTCAGAGGCCAGTTGTTAACAGGTTTTATATATGGATGTTAAGCATCTAATTAAAGTTAGAGCTTTAGAATACGTATTTTTATAGTTCATTATGAAAGCATCTTCCTACTACTGTATCATGTGCTGGTGTCTTCACAGAACCTCAGGTAAAACACCTCAAGTCCTGGCTCTGAAATGCTCACAAAGTCCCCAGGTCTGGAAAAAGGCAGAAGCATGTGTTGAAGCCTCTGTATTTTTCATAGAATCATGGAATGGTTGGGGTTGGAAAGGACCTTAAAAGGTCATCCAGTTCCACCCCCTGGCCATGGGCTGGGCACCTTCCACTAGACCAGGTTGCTCTAAGCCCTGTCCAACCTGGCCTTGAACACTTCCAGTGATGGGGCAACATTTGTCAAAACACCTGAGTCCCGACTTACAGGAAAGCAAAATAGTGAAATATCTGATGATTCAGACTTTAAGCCATGATAAAGAACCAGTGAAATTAAAGAAAGACTTTCATTGCAACCATGCTTCCTTTTTTCCCAGTCTTAGCCATGGTGGTAATTGCAGATATTTATAGACTGAAATGTGTGAGATATCTGATATTTCAGAAAACTGCTGACAATCTAGCTACAAGTGCTAGTAATATGTGTCTTATTTCCACTATAAATGCAATTTATTGTACTTTTTTTATGAGCTAATAATAAATACATCTGAAAACAAGAAAATTTGGTTTACTTGTGATTTTTTTTAAGAATGGTTTGTGTCACTCTTCCCTTTTTTACCAGAATGTTAACACTACTCCTGCAAAAATGTCTGCAGGGCAAAGTAATTATTAGTGATTAATACTAACAAATTCATGGCCTGTAAAAGTGTTTAGGACCACCCAGCAAAGTGACAGCAGTGAGTCACCCAGATCCCCTGAACCCTCTTCTGCAGGCGAAGAGAACACTGAGGTTCTCTGGCCTTTGTGGTCAGGAGGTTTGCCACTGAAACCACTTGAAATAGATCTTGAGGTCTTTGAGGTTTCTGTCTGATTCTGTTGGTGCAGTGTTCAGAATTCATAGGACCGACCTTCCTGTTCTTCAGATAACTGGTTGAAACCTTGGCACCATTGAAACCCATCACTGCAACCTCTCATTAATTTGGGTCCAGCCCAGTTTCCATCCTCTGAAATACTCAGGCTAAATTTACGAGTATCCTGACAAAGGATATTGATCTGTTGCCTTCAGAGGAATCTCCCTTTCTGTGCCATAATGCCATAAGGTGAATAATGCCATACTGCTTCCCTACAGGAAGCTCTTCTGGCATGGATTATGGGGTAATCAGGAGCCAGTGAGGGAAGTCATTGGCTAAGATTCTTCAGGAAAATAAGAAAGCACAGCTTGAAACTGCCCCTTATTCTGCAGAAATCAGGTTAATCATAAGATGGCTGCTCTCTAAGACATAAAGTTGGCTTTAATCCTTGATTATCCATTACCTGGGCCTCATATGGACCCAAGTGCCTGTGAATATCTCCTCTAAGAATTGTCAGTCTCCCACCTCTGAGGGACTGTCTAGACTGTATAAAAAGGTGTTACTATCACAGTTCAAATATTCCCTATGGTGACTCCATATACTGGAGATAATTTTCTAACATACTCCATCCATTCAGGAACATAATAATTGATGTGTCAATTAGTCCTTGGACTTCTCTTTCTTAATTCCTCTCCTTGTTGCACTGCAAATGATCTGGAAACCTTCTGATAAATGCCACAATGCATAGACTCAGTCAGGCTGCATGATGTACAAAATTGCCCCTGAAACTTCAGATTACAAAATCAGAGATTCTGAAATAAAATTATAGAACTAAATTTATTCCTGAGGCTCCTGAGGTATGAGAGTCATTAATTGTATAATAGATAATAGCCTTATACTGGACCTACTCTTGACTCTGTGTCCCACCATTTTCTGGGAAGGGGAAGCTCCTCCAGCTTTCTATTCATACTCATCACTCAACCTGTGGCTTTAGGTTTTGCCTACCACACCTCCCTAAATCTGCACTGAACAGAGACTGACTAATTCCCTTCAGGGCTTTTTGTGGGTGCTCCTCATCTTAAGGAATGCTTGACAAATAGTTGGTGTCCTTAATGAGGCACTAATAGGTTACAGTAGGAACTTGCTATCCTCTAAGTGCTTCAGCTGGGCAAGCAGGCACTTGCTGGCAGCAAAAGCGGGGGAAAAAAAGGCTTATGTCTAATTAAGGTTCTGTGGGAAAACACAGATTTCAGGTCCAAATGCTTCATATCCATCCCTTCTTCCATGCTGACCTTCATCTTATCCCTTTTCTTCATAAGTTGTAGATTCTCTTTTATGGAAGTAATAGTATTTGTAATAGAGGGAAATCCAGTGTATATTCCCCAGCCTTGTTCTGAGACATCAAAAAACCTTAAAAGAAACCTTGCTTCAAATATGTCAGATTGATGAGTTCAGTGTGACAGAACTTCAAAGTGCTGAACACCTGGGAATTGCATCTTGAGGCAATTTAATATAAGTCCTATTCAATGCTCAAGATGCAATACTTTCAGTGGAAATGTTAAGCTGTTAATGCTTGTTTTGTTTTACCTGTGAAGAATCAATTCAGACCCATCAATGGAATGGCACTAAGTAATTCAAAGGATCCACCAGTTCAGGTATCACAGCCTTGTGGTATTGTATCTTAGCAATATCAGAAGATACAAAGAAAAACATAATGCTCAGCGCCAGCCTTTGCAGAGAGGTGTTGGGTTTATTTTTTTACTTTCTGAAATAACACATGAAACCTTCAGCAGGGATCTGTCCTGCCTTGACACCTGCAGTGTTAAAGAAAGGCTCCTTTGATCTCTCTTAAGGTGTGGAAAATGGGAAACTCACCTTCCTTCAGGCAAATACTGTTTTGGCCCAGTTTGATGCCTTAACAAACACATCACTTGACTCTCAACTCTTCCATTGAGCAAGACTTCAAAAGTCTGATATGTTAATTGCACATGGGCGGACAACCCAAACCACCCACCCAGAGCAAGATTGAGGGAGCCCACGAACCGCGTCCCGAATAAACACGCACCGAAATCACCGATGTGGGTGACCGTGGCAGGATCTATCTTGGCTTGCACATTCTTCAAAGGTTTATGTGGTGTGTGTGAGAATATGTTTTGTAGCTATTCCACGTGCCATTTTTTCAGCACTGTTGATGCCCTCAGTGGGAGGCACTCCATCAGATGAATGGGAACAGGTTACTGTTCTGGAATGCAGCCACAGAACACCCTCCCAAGCAGAATAAAGCAGGCACTTAACTAATGACGTGCTGCAGCAGCATATTTGGCATCCCAATCGTGCCCCATTCAGCACTCCAAATCTAAAAGCAATATATGAATAACTGTGAAAAATTCTCCTCCTCTCAGAAAAATATGCACTAATATTTTACCAGATGTAACACCATGTAATTACTTTTTCTTCTTCAAAAGATCAACTTGGACAGATAATAAGACAAGATATGAAGATAAAGGTAGAAAACTATGAGAGGCCCACAATTAACCTACATGTATTCATGAGTTTGATGACTAGGTCAAAATTTCACTCACTATTCTTCAATACAGAGTATTTCCTATAAATTTCTAAATTAGTTTTAGGTGTGATGAAGAGGCTGTACTGACACAGCTTTGGGAAGCAGCTATTCCTAAGCAGATCTGAACACTTGTTTTCCAACGAACAACATGTGTTCCAAGTAGGTAAAATCAATCTATTGTGCTAATTTACTGTCTGTGCTGCTTTGTCAAATGTTAACTCATAAGGACAAATATGCCACAAAGTCCCTGAGCAGCTGCCTGCCAGCAACACTTGACATTCTCCTGTGGGAATCATAGAATCAGTTCCCTTGGAATTGACCACTGGAGGTCACCTGGTTCCCCACACCCCACACCCATCACTAGATTATGGCCAGTTCAGAACAGATCCATTTTTTAGTATCTCCAATGATCTCTGGATAACCTGTTCCTATTCTTGACTACTCTCATTGTGAAATTTGTTTTCCTCATATCTAATTAGAATTTCTCTTGGTGCAATTTGCACTGTTCTCTCTCTTCCTTTCACTGTGCATCTCCAAGAAGACTCTGGCTCCTGTCTTCTCTGCACGTCCTGAAAGCAGCTGAAAGCAACGAGACTTTACTCTCTTTCTCCAAACTGGGCAAACCACTTCTCTCAAGCTTTCCTAGCATGACACGTGCTTCATCCCTCTAAACACCTTGTTGGTCCTTCACTGGTTCTGATCCAGTATTTCGGTGCCTTTTTTGTGCCAGGGAGCCCAGAACTGTACCCAGAATGCCAGATGCAGCTTCATCAGTGCTGAACTTGATAATTACACTCTTACTAATACAGCCCAGCATGCTGAGCTGGACTTGTTCAGTACAGGGGCAAGCCATTGACTCACATCCAACTTCCACACCACGAAAACCGGACTCTTCCCAATATGCCATGGAAAGTTCTTGAACACAGCACTCTGATCTAAGGGAACCTTCAGTCTACCTGAGGATGACAGGCCTCAGGTTGTCAGACCAGCTCCATGTGAAGAGCTAGCAGGGCAAACAACAAGTTTAGACAAGAAAGATGCCTCAGATAAAGCATTTTTTCAGTCAAATGGTGACTATTTTCTCTAGCTGGCTGATGTGAGTTCTGCCCATTTTCAAAGCAAGGAATAGAGATCCAGAGGCTTTGGTCTACTTTTAAGCTGGAGTTGCAGTAAGTGTTCTGTGGCATTTTACTTTTCCCCAAGTTTCATTTTGGGATTCTGTGTAACACCTCACTGCAGAAAGTGAAACAGACTGTTGCTCTCTGAGTAGGGCATTTTTCTTCTCAAAGCTCTAAGACAGCTTTGATATTTCAAAACACAAAAATCTCCAGGATTTCAGCTGAGTCCCTGCTGTGAGCAAGCTGCTGTTTGCACACCCTGCAGTATGTCACAGCCTCTCATCACGACTATGTCCCTCCTACCTGAGTGGTCTGGGCAAGCCCTACAAAACTTAAGGTCCATTGTTCAAGAAACGAATCTTTATTTGATTCAAAAGCTCTAACCAATACACCTAAACATTACCAGAAAGAAAACATTCACCCCATGGCTTTCCCAATATGGGGCATAGAATAAGCATTAGGAATCCTTCCAATAGAAAGGTAACTTTCATACGCTAAGAAAAATCTCATTTGAAATCTGCCTCCCTTTTTGGTCCCTTCCCACCTCCAAGAGTCATCTCTTTCTGCACTAGTCTCAGAAAAGATTCCTACATCAACTTAGCAGACTTGAAGCAGATGTTTACACTCTTCTGCTGGAGGCGATGGGATGGATATTGAGGTTGCATCAGACAGGACACTCTGGAGCACTGTATTAGGGCAAGAGAGCATAACCAGAGTGGCAGATTTCCTCATTCCAGTGTCAAGGAACCGGCATGTTCTGTCAAGCTGCAGTTTTACAGTTTCAAGATTTCCTCAAGAGTCTTGTTTGTTCAAAACTATTCAGATTAGGAGTAACTTCCGGCTTGCTTTGGGTTTTGCTCTTGTTGCCTAATGTTGGTAATTGTCCACCAACCAATGAACATGTCCTGAATACTCTCCACAGAGTTTGTACATGCTCTTTGCCAGGCTCTTCAGAAAGGTTTTGGGCTCTCCAGTACAAAAATTTCACTGACAACCCAAAGCAGAAGAAACTAGACCAACTCCAGTGTAAACCACAGCCTGTCTCTTGTGATCTCAACTTCAAAGGAACATGCACAGATGTCCAAGTTAAGAAAAAAGGAAAATTAAATATTAAATCACTGAAGTAAAGGCATTGAATTACAGGACTCCAGCTCAAACCAGATCTTTACCTATGCTGGAACTTGAATTTGATGGCATTTATACTTTTCATCCCATGAAGTGATGAGAAATTAGCCATTTATTAATTAACTATAATCCTTAAAGACAAGATGATATTTATCCTTCTTGGAATGAATTAGTGGGCCCCAAAGTCTTTTTGACCTATTACAACCTTTTCTGTAAGAACTTTCAGTCCCCTCTCTCTTCCTGAAATTAGCACATATGGCCCCAGTTCCTTGCAATGAGGGAAGGTGATCACTGAAATATTGTGAGTTGTAGTGGTGTGCAGGGATCTTTCCTATTGAGACAATTTGCCCAACTACACTAAGACAAGACTGATTTTGGAGGGATGGGTTCAAACAAAACTATCAGCTCCACATTACTTTGAACTTCATGAAAATTAAGCCTCAGAACTGAGTGTCCCATTGTGATTCCCCCCTTGAGCTGTATTATAAAAGACAGAAAATGATGCCTGTGGATTAAGTCACTAACATGTTGGTATGCTGAATTTTTTGAAGAATCCCTCCTACTGTGCTGCAAATAGGAAAATAGGAGAAGAGGGGCAGGCAGAGGAATCTCCTCCATATCTCCATGACACCAGACCAGGCAGTAACTCAACAGGATGCCCAGTGGCTCTGAACTCATCCCTGCTCTTTGCCAGGCAGAGCGATGTGGTATCTTTGCTCTTTCTCTCACAGAGCATTGGTTCCAATCTCTGAAGTGGCAGAATTTTAAAGGAAGGAGAACACTGAAGGATTTTCTGGGCTTTTTGTGAAGTTTAGGGTGTTCAAATGAAACATTCTTTTCCAGAGCAGCCTAGAAGGGCTCAGTGCACAGCCATAGGAACCAGCATCACCTTTAAACAGAGTTCACAGGCAGCTCCAAAACATCAAGACAGCAGGAATTAAGGACTTCAACTCTACTGGGATGAATCTTTTGGAACACACCCAGCAACAATTATTTTTCCCCTGGGAATTGTGTTCATCTCTAAGAGTCAATAGGCAATAACAGACCAGCAATAAGTAACCACCTTACTGAGTCACTCCTTGGACTCGCTGATGGAGATAGAACAGTTAATTAGGCAAGGGGCTTAGCCAAGGAACAATACATCTGCTCTATCAACACAATCCACGCTGGGACACTCATGACCTTCACGTTGTACAGAAGACATTCTATTGACACTACATGGGCAACACCTTCTTCTAATTACGTTCTGTGTGAGGCGATTTCATCACCAGGGTTCCTGCTCCTTGTGCTCGTGTATATAAATATCTGCTCCCACAGACACATGGACACACACTGGAGCTAAACGTGCTGGAATACTTGAAGGACAGACTGGCTGTGAAACAGGCCAAGAACCCCTGTTTGCCATGAAGACAACAGGAGTCTTTGTGCTCCTCGCTCTGGCAGTCCTTTGCTTGGCAAGTGAGTAACCTCCTGTATTTCCTGCTATATTACAGCTCTGATGTCTAAAGACTGCAAGTTTCTCAGTGTATTGGGACAGAGAGCAATGGTTCCTAGACCTGGGTGGGATACAGAAAGTGAAATTTTAGGCTTGTGCTCCATTTATCAAACACTATTGTACCAGCTGTACAGCTGCCCATTTGAGTGGATGAAACCTCATCGTTGGTGGTGATGTGAATCAGAGCTGCATTCTGCACTGTGACTAAAAAGAACTGCAAAGCCTCAGAACTAGAGCTGTTTTTACCTACTTATTTCTAAATTTTATCTGAGAAGGGAGGTTGGAGCTGATGAGGTCCTTCTCCTGCCATGCAGGGGACAGTTGATTATGCACAGGACACATAATAAGGCTGTAAATCACCTCTTTATACTGTTAGCTTGCCAGGCTGCAGAGAGCTTTGAAGGGTAGATTGCTCTGGGATAAAATAGGGAGCTGGGAGGAATTTCTTGGTATTTTTATTTGTACTAAAACCTTGCAATAAAAGATATAGATATAAGTAAGTACATTTAAGATAACTGAGACAGTCCACATTTCTGCTAGAGTACAGATGCTCAAAAGCATTAAGAACATTAAAGAAGCAAAATAATTACAATATTAAACCCAAAATTATTAAACAAGTTAATATTTTTCTATTTTGGATAGGTCTGAAAAGGTTGCTTTGAAAATTGTCTCAAAATCAAAATACTTATGAACAACAATTTCAATGAAATTGCATGATTTGACAGAAACCATTCTTTCAGTGTTTCATTAACTGCAGAGAAATAAATAAATATTACTCCCATAAGAATTCCAGGAGATCTCTTCCTTGAACTTCCTAGTTTATTGTCTCCTTTAAAACTGTATGAATAACTACTTTTTGAGCTACATTTTTTTTGCATTCACTACCACATGCAGAGTGGCTATTAAGAGATTACTGGAGAAAAAATAACATCTTGACATGGAACACTATTCCTGACAGTTTTCTTTATGTTCAACAACTTTATTTGATGAGAAGATGTAAACATCTCCATGAAAGGAACTTCCAGTGGAAAGTTTAAGGGCTTTAAAGATCAGAAAAAGCCACATCTAGTCCAAAAGACAAGTGCTAGAGCTGTATTGCCATAACACATTTTCCTCCTGCTCCTGCTGCACAGAAGTCTCTGCCTGATAACTTTTACCCCTTGGAAGCCCCAGGATGATGATTACAGGACAGGAGAACAAATACATTCCTAAAGAAAGTAACAAATGTGTCACCGTAATGGAGACATGCCAGTGGCACTTGATTACTTTCTGGGAGGTGTAATTAGCACTGTTTTGAAGTAGCTCCTTGAAGCCCCACCTCAGAACAGGGTTCCATTCTATCAGATGCCATGTGTGTACAAAATAGGGGCCAATCAGTTTAGAGTCTGTATTGACCAGCAAATGAAATCACTTTTTAAAGTGGTATTATGATCAAAATTGGATTATCATTATTATACATATTTAATATTATAGTTTAATGAAGATATTATCCTCATTATTGACAGAAAATCAAAGCATAAAAGGAACACATGATTTTTGTACAACCACATGCAACTTTTTTTAGAAACTTTTTATAAACTTAGGAATTAAAACCCAGTCATGCTCAACAACCAGTTGATCCTGAACAGACTGGTCATTGAATACAATATTGACTTCTGGGGCTTCAATCTGTTTGTGGTGAAAGGGGGAACAATGGCTCCAGTCGCTCCTACAACAGAGGCTGTTCTAGCAGCTGACAGAGGTTTCTGAGGTAAATAATAGAATAATGTCCACGTGTTTAATAGGTTCTGACACCTGTGTCTTATTAAACACTGAAAAGCTCTGTCAGTATTTACTTTCAAGGACTTAGGAGACTTGGTGTTGCTGGAAGGGCTCAGACTAATGAAATCCTCCTTGTTTGAAACTGAGTGTTCATTAACTGTGGTTTTTATTTTATCCTTTGTGATTCTGTTTTATTGCAGATGCTGACAAAGAGAACGAGGTGAGTAATTTTCTTTATTTCTGGATAAAACTCTATATAGTTTGTAACAATATGAGGACAGAAAAAAAGCCCAGTGTTAAACTTTAATTAATTGCTAGCCATGTATTGAGATTTTAGTGAGAAATCCCTAACTCTGAGATATGTGGTTTTCATACAGTTGCCCTGACAACTTCCAAATGTTTTTACCTGTAATGTATTCTGGGTGAGAAATCTAGATTTTTTTAAATATTTATCTAATGATGACACTTTAAGTCTTTCTTAATGACTTTCAGGTCCTAAATCTGGCACTTGGAGGTTTTAATTTCTCTCTGGGTATGCTGGAGTCATCCTGGGGTCACCCTCTGAAAGAAATGAGACGCCAAGAAATAAAAATCCTTACTTGGATGAGCAGGGACAAGACCTTTCAGAGTCCAGTGATGAATAGTGGGGAAGGAAAATTCACCCACACACAGAGCTGGGCCCCCATTAACACAACTCAGGAGGATTTTCTTCATGGAAAGGGGTGTCAAACATTGGAAGGGGCTGCCCAGGGAGGTGGTGGAGTCCCCATTCCCTGGAGGTGTTCAAGAAACAACTGGACATTTGTAGTCCCATTTCCATGCCTAAGTCTGTAATGAATATAATCCCACAATCAGATGAGACCTCCAACAATTTCTTTTCATGCCAATACTTAAATAGGACTTTAATTTCACCTGGTCAGAACCTTCCCCCAGTGTAAAAAGCATCAAGAGCTGATACTGTGCAATAAAGAGAGAGAAAGCCTTAAGAAGTAATCTCACCTGAATTCACTGACCATTGCAATCAGCTAGAAAAAAACACTAACCCTCAACTTCTTTGTAGCTATATTTTTTCCAGTGACTGTAATGCTATTCAGATGGAGAGCACAGTCCTTAAAGGTGCTCAGTTTGTCACAGGCAGCATCACACACATCTCTGTGATAAGGAACATTCTTTTTTTGAGGCTTAGGCTCAGCTAATACAGATGGCAAAGCCTCATCAACTGCGCTGCTCTGGAGCAGCTGACAAACATGTCCAAAAATGTCATGTATTCATTATTTCTGTGGGTGGATGGAGAATGTGAGAAAGATGGATTCAAAGAAAAATGACACTCTATTTACAGGTGGACTGCAGTGAATACAGGAGGTTAGAGAGAGGAAGACCCATTTACTGCGAAAGGCTCTATCAACCCTTCTGCGGCTCTGATGGAAAAACATATAACAACAAGTGTTCTTTCTGCAAAGCAGTCCTGTAAGTACAACTCTTCCTAATTGCTCCTGAATTAGCCAAAGTCTGAGGTTAGCTGAATTATCTGGGATTTCCATTCCACCTAAGTCCTATCATTTTTTTTTTCCAGGGTTGCTACTTCTCTGTTCCTTTGCTTAATCTATTCAGATTAATTGCTTCTCCCTCCAGTAAGGTCCAACTGGTCTAAGCAAATGACCTTGGTATTTGTGTGAGCAACTTCCTATTGTAGAAGTTGGACAGTAAGGAGAAGAGTCCAATCAGCAACACAGGCCTAACCTGGTACCTGGACCTACCTTGGGTCATACAATTCAAAAGTGGTACTGGAAACACCTAGCTTTTTATGGATAAAATATATAATTTTCAAAGGAAAGTTGTTCACAGATCAATGCCCTCACGTCTGCTACAAATGTTTATAGTGTCTTCTCTGTTAGCAAAGGGCTTCAGAGAGATTTCAGTGCATGCTGTTGAGCTTTCTATCTGCAATACGGATGTTCTTCCCTTCCTTTGCAGGAGAAGTAGAGGTGCCTTACACGTGAAGCAAGCAGGGGTCTGCTGAAGGAGCTCTGCATGCCAGAAGAGTGCTGAGAACAGCGTCCCCCTGCCCCACTACAGTCTCTTAATTGGATTTCATTCATCTTGCCTGTTCTGATGGTGGCAAACAAAGCATAAAGTCAGTTTTCCGCCTGTGTTCTCTCATTTGCTGCTTTGCTCCACTCCAGAGTGTTGGGATTGACACTTCTGTCCTCCCTGAAAAGCACTTCCTTGGGATTCTCAGGAGCATTCCTGTTCCTGTAGCAGGAAAGTTGGTTTTAAATGAGCCCTTCATTATGTATTGGTCTACACAGTTAAAGTTCAAATCTTCTGACAATGCCACCTGATCTGAGTGGACACAAGTCAGTGCAGGCTTTTCCCCTTGTTGATAAAGTGTTTTCTTCCATTTATCCAGAAATTTTAGCAGATACTTTTCCCCAAAGGTTTCAGCTTTCTTAGGAAGTGCTTTGATTCTTCCAGTTTTGTAGCTAAATTTTAAATGCTTGTTTTTCCTTTATCTTTGTGCAATTCTGATTAGTTTATGTTGTTTAGCATGTTTATTAAAATAAACTTTAACTCTTTTGCTTTTGTCCATGGTGAACTTTCTAGAGAATAAGTTTATTGCATCCATTAGTAACAGTATTTCCCAAGTTACAGAAAACTATTGTGGAGCAGGGACTAAGTCCAGAAGTAAAAAATCAAAGCCTGGAAGACAAAAGTTGTATTCCACTAGATGGCCTCATGTTACTGGAATTTACCCTTCAATATGGTTCTTTTTTTCCTTTAAATGAATCAAATCTGGTACACTGTAAGACTGTATAAGCTTCAGAGCAGTTATCTCTGTTAAATCCTGTCATTTAAATGTGATCGTTCCTGGTTCTCTTCACTTCTGATAAGTTGGTGGCTTTTAGACCTAAAGAAGTTTCTGTTCTACCTTACATCCTTATTTTCTTCATTATTAAGCCAGTTTGTGTCTTTTACACTTGAATAGTTGGTCATGGGAATGCATTTTTCCAAAATTAAAACTGATGAATGACTGACTTCACCGGGCTTACACAGGAGAAAAATTTTGGAACTGCTGGACATAGAATAAACCCATCCATATCATGAATTCTGTTTATATGGAATCCAGGTCCCAGCAATCAGGCAGCAGGAATGCAAATGAGAAAGGTAATACTGTAAAAGTTTCTCATAGCTCAGGCTTGTGGCTCTGGACACAACCTAAAGAGGTTCTTACAACAGGTTATCTTGACTGAAAAAATGATAAAAATAAGAAAAGAAAGATCAAATTGAGAAAACAAAGGCAAACTCTGGGGCTTTCATCATCATGTCAGAATGTCCAGCAGACAATTTGTGAATATTTTCTGCCCTCTAGCTTGGCCTGTCACAGCCTAAGTGGATGTTCATACCCTCTGCTTTAGTATGTTGAGATATTTAACTGATTGTGCTTGTAGGACCAAACCAAAGACACAAAATTTCTTATGCACATCTTCCAGAACAATTCAAGAAACTGTAACTCAGAGGTCTAAACCACACTTCTGGGACTCTAATTTGTTTCTGACAATTTCTGATGTGAAATTATCTCAGACAAGAGCAGCTGGAGAGCAAGGCTTTCCCACACTGAGTGCTTTTTATGAGCTCCTGCTGGCCCATAGCTGCAGATAATGAGAAGCAGCTTCTGCCACATACCAGAGCAAAGAACACCATTTGCAAATTGCTGCAAATGACAGCTGAAAAAATGCTGAAGTGGCTGGACAATCTGGACAGTCAGGTTTGTGTGATGGAGCAACGACAGGGAAATATGGGGAAGGAAAAATGTACGTAGTTTGAGTGAGCTGATGAAACAGGCTCGTGTCCTGTTTGCTAGAAAATAAAATAGAGGGAGCCAGATATTGGTGTTGAATGGAAAATAGAACAGATCTTGCACTCACGGAGGATTAGAGTTTTCAAAACTCTGCACCAAAAAGGTACTTATATATCATTGATGTATCCGTATATATGACGTATATATCTGATGTATTTATATGTGGAGGACAAGAAAGGGTTTTCACAGTAAGGTTTTAAAAATTTTTTGTTTTCCCTTCTAAGACAAGAGGTAATGAAATACAGGCCTGAAAATCAGATATAGTTGAATTCCTAAAAAAGAAAATGCCAGTGCTGTAATAAATTTGGCTGGGATTAAACCATGAAACCTTCCTTACTTGTGCTAATGCACCTAATGACTTTTGGTCTTTTGGACTCAGACCTGAACAAATTTAACAAATTGATAATAGACCCATAAAATGCTCAAATACACTTTGGCAAAGGCAACTATCAGGGCTCCTGGGGCTTCAGGTAATGTATCACAAGATATTAGAGAGTGACCAAAGGAGGGACATGAGGATGGTGAAGGGTCTGGAGGGGCCATCAAGGAGTGGCTGAGGATGCTTGGCTTGTTCTGGGAGGATACTGAGATCAGACCTCACTGGGGTCTGCAGCTTTCCCATGAGGGGCAGCTCCAACCTCTGCTCTGTGTGAGCTGTGACAGGACCCCAGGGAACAGCTGGAGCTGTGTCAGGGGAGGGTTAGGTTGGATATAAGGAGAAGGTTCTTCCCCACTGAACAGGCTCCCCAGGGCAGTGGTCTCAGCCCCAAGGCTGACAGAGCTCGAGGAGCGTTTGGACAACACTTTCAGGGACAGGGTGGGATTGTTGGGGTGTCCTGTGCAGGACCAGGAGCTGGACTTGGATGATTACAGAATTCCAGAAAGGTTTGGGTTGAAGGGACCTTAAAGCCCATCCCACTCCACCCTGGTCATAACCAAGGACACCTCCCACTAGACAAGGTTGCTCAGAGCTCCATTCCCTGTGGTTCTTGTGGGTCCCTCCAAACTCACGACATACTGTGATTCTACAACAGCGGTTTGGAATATAATTTTTATAAATAACATTCCTCTGTGTGTGTGTGTGTGTGTGTGTGTGTGCTTGCAAACTCCTTTAACCCACAGCACGCCAAGGGCACAGCGCCACTCGCGGGCGCTCCTGCTGCCGTGCCACAACTCCCCGCTAAGCTCTCGGGGTTTCATTAGCTCCTCTCAGGACGCCCAGCCCGTGTCCCCGAGGCCCAGCCGGCGTTCACCGCCCTCAGGGCTCAGCCACCCCCGCCATGGCGGCGCCGGGCGGGACGGGCTGAGGCGGCACCGCCCCCAAGATGGCGGCGGGGCGGGCACGGCCCGTGCTGCCACGCTCAAGATGGCGGCGGGGCGAGCGTCCCGGCCCCCGGAAGGGGCGGTGGGAGCGGCGGCGAAGCGGAGGCGGAAAGGGCCGCGCAGGAAGCGGCGGCCGGGGCTCACCCGCGGCCACAACACCGGGGCTGCGCGGGGCAGGTGAGGGGCTGCGGGGCGGTGAGGGAGGGGGGGACGAGCCTGGCTGAGCCCCCGGGGCGCGGCGGGCGGTGACCCGGCGGTTACCGCCCCCCTCGCGGCCGCCATCGCCCCTCGTCCCCGCGGCCTCGGGCCGTGCCCGCTGTGACAGGCCCTGAGGGACGGGGACGGAGCCGGGAGGGAGCCCCCAGCGCGGGGGGAGTGGCAGCGCCTGGGCTGCGGGGAAACCTGCTTTTGTATCGCTTATCTCAGCAAGAACGAGCCTGTCCTCTCTTTTCCCCTCCCTGTAAGGAGCCCCTCCTTATCTCATGCTTGCCAGGCCGTCTCTGGCTGCTCTGTCCACATTTGCCTTTTCTGTGCGGTGTGCCCGTGTTTTTTTAAGCTTTTTAAGTTCAGTTTGGTAGTTATTGATCAAGAACACGGCACGTCGAGCTGTTGTTTCCTGCAGCATTCATTCTCGTGAATTAACTGAGGTGGGGGCAGCAAAATTCCGTTTGCCAGCTTTATTGCACATATAAGGGTTTTTTGTTGTGCAGTTTTTTAATTTTAATTTTATTTTTAAGTGAGGTCAGCTTGCTAATGTAGAATGAGATGTTAAAGCTGTGCTCGTTAGCTCAAAGTGGTACCAGGAGGAGCATTTATTGTACACAAACTGCATCCTCATAGGAATGAGGTCGTTCTTTTCCCCCTTTACTTAATGGCAGGGCCCAAACCTAGTGTAGGTTGTACTCGTTGCATTTGTGTCTTACAGGATTCTTCCTGCTCTGTTGGATATTATCCTTATTTCTCTGTCTTACGTCACAGTCCTTTTACTGTTCTTTAGTGCTGTATTGCATCCCAGCACGTGGCTGCAGCAGTCTGCAGTTTTTTAGGTTGTATCCTGCCCCCTGTTCAAATTGAGTCATCCCACGTGACTGAGAATCCACATAATGCTTGTTTTCTTTGGAATCCGGTCTCATAAGAAGTCAGGTTTGGGCTTCATGAAGCTGATCAACGTTACAGCAGAGAATTACAAACAAACTGACCCCTTCCAGCGAGCACCAAAAAGAAGGGCAACATAAGAACAGGCAACAAACTCACTGTCTTTACTTCTGGCTGGAGAATTCCCAGCAATCCAAAGGAGCAGAGATATATTTCATGGTATTCACGTGCAGAAGGTGGTAATTTATTTATTTTAATATCACCATTAAAATAAATTCATGACAGCATGGAGCTGTTAACTTAAAATGCGTACAAAAAATTTGTAAAACCGTGTTTTTTCAATAATTAGATTGCAATGTTTCAAATTTTGTGCCATCCTATAAATCCTTTGTATTGGAGAAGGCAAAATTTTTTCTTTTCCGTTTCCATGAGGTCCTTTGTTTTTCTCCTCAGTTGTCATTTCCCCATAATGTGGTGCAAACACTGAGGTATGTTTGCATCACAGTGGAGACTGTACCAGAGGCCTTACTGATAAGTTTTACAAAATCTGCCTTTTTTTTTTTAACAAGTTGTTTTTCCTCATCCACTGAATTTAACAGGCATTCAACCTGTTAAACAGGTTTACTGAGTTAGTGATGCTTTGCCCTCCTCACCAGAGAGCACTTTTGTTCTCGTCTTACGTTGCTTTCTTACATTAGAATAAAATAAATACTTGCTAGATACAGCTGTGAAAATGTCTCTCA